CTATGCCAGGCTTTTGCAGAGAAGTACATGGAAGTTTCCTGCATGGCAGCTACTCATGGAGAACTTAAATAAATGCTCCATTTACTTAAAGTTACTGAAACAAAATCCATTGCTCAGTTCATTAAATGAGGAGAYATTCACCCTTAGTAAAAAACCCAAACCCTATAATTTAGCAAAAAGGAAAATCCAGCATATTTAAGGAAATTTTAAAGGCGTTAAAATCAGTGCTAAGGGACAAGTTAGCAGTTGACAAGTTAGCAAGACAATCCTCCCTGCTCTACTGCAGGACACCACTGTTCTCTTTGGACACCCTGAGCTGGGGTACCAGAGGCTCAGACTCCCCTGAAGCCCATATGAGATTTTATCTATTTATTATTTTATTTATTTAATTAGGAGCAAGCATGATCAGCAGTGACACTATTTGTGAGGCCAGGGCAGGTGTGAAAAGCTGCCAGGAATGAAGCTGCAGAGCCCATGGGCAGTGGGAGGTGGCYGGTGCCCAGTCCTGCAGCCACACACACCTGAGCCAAGAACAAACGAAGGTGAGTTCACATTTCCACTGGCCTGGCTCACACCCAGCCCTGGTTTCCTGCACTGCCTGAATTAGGCTGCTCAAACAGCCAGAGCAGACACAGCTTTATCCCAGCTGCTCCTCTTCACCCCATCCTGGCTGGTGTTTTCACACGGCAAGCCATGCACCTTGCACCTGRTTTCAAACTCACAGAGAATCTCTGTGGACTGAGAGCTGGATATCAAGACCAGAATAACACAAAGGAAAAGCAATTCATAAATGATGAGCAGAAACAGCCTTCTCATCCTTCCCATGCCACTCCCCTGACACTGAGGACAGACTGGCTCTTCACTGCCCAGAACTCACCCTCCATCAGGTGCCCAGGCTGGGACAGCCCCTGCTCAGGACACAGCACAAGAGAGGACCAAGAGCACTGACCCCCTGCCCTCATCCCTCCCCTGACAATGACACAAGGCTGCTCTGCCAGCTGAGTAGCACCARGATGCCATTCCCACCAGACTGCTGTGGGAAGTGCCTCTCCCTGTTTGCACTGCCAGAGGAAGCCCAGCCTTTCACCCCACACAGCCATTTCAGCCGAGCATCCAGGTTTGGGAGCGCTCACATCCTATTCCTGCTCTGGCAACGTGCTGCCAATTTRATTTCTGCTGCAATTATTCTCCCACCCACACAGTTGATCTACTGTCAATTAGCACTGACAGGGTCCCCACAGCCCAAAGGCCACATTTCCAGCCCCCCTGGGTCAGAGAGCTGCCAATTCTGGCAGCTTGGGAATGGACAAGAAAATAAACATCCTCTCTTTTTATTAGCACCACATGGCAGTGTTTTGACTAGCGAGCTCACGCTACAGGAAGCCAGAATCAGTGGGATCTGCAGAAACTGATGGATGGGTGCTCCTGCTCCCTCATCTGCCAGGGAAGAGGGGCTGGGGAGTGCCCACAAGGACACAACACCGTGCACAGGGAGGGCTGGGGATCCCCACAMGTCAGCAGTGATGATGGGAATCAACAATCCTGGCTGGAAAGTGCTGAGCTGCCCCAGCACCCAGTGGGACCCACCTGCATCCATCTCCAGGTCCAACAGACAAGACAGCCCTTCTTTAGGACACGAGGCTAAATGCCACAGCATTTCTGGCCTCCTCTGTAGATCCTTGCTGTTAAAGACAGACTTGTCTGTCAAACCAACTGACAACCAAAGTCTGCTTTAAAAAAAAACAAAAAAAAATTCCCAAAGGTGACTCACTCATCCTGTTCAGTGTTGTTCCYGCTAATTGTGAAAAAGCAGCTCTGCATTTCCAGCTTCTTCAGTTGTGAGGGCAGCTATTCCCCACAGTCACTACAATTATYGAAGTTTTAATAAGGAGATTGATTACATTCTTGGTCTCTGAGTAGGGGTTTTCCACAAAGTTCAAGTGGGAAACCACACAGATTTAGAAAGAGGAGAGAAGACAACTCACCTGCCACTCCATACCTTACAAGTTCTCTTGCACAGAAGATAACTGCAAATCTCACTGCCTTCAAGACAAAGATTACACCTAAATAAACTCAATTGTGATAACAGAAATACAGATTTCCTACAAATCGCCCATTCTGCTTATGCTCACATGTTTCAGGGCTTCCAGCAAGAATTACTGGAGTCACAAGTCAAGATTTTCAACAGATCTTTGCCCAGTATCAAGAAAAAGCAGATAGGGTAAAACCCRGAGGAAGAAAGGGTATGTGCTCCACATTTCTGCAAAGGCCACTTGGGGTAAAATTCTCAAAACACTTTTCAGGGACAACCCCCAACCTCTTTTTGTGATTCAAGAGCTGAACTCCAGCAGAACTCTTTCCCTGTGTTTCAAAGCAGATTGCTTTTTCCAGATGCGAGGAAGTGCACCTAAAGGTTGCACACACCGAGCCAAGTTATTACTTTACAATGAGATTTTTCTTTCTCACAATCTYGTGAGTGCCTTTGCTGGAGGGGCTGAATGAACACAGCACAGGACAGCCCTGGTCACCTGGCATTGCTGCCCAGGGACTCAGGTTGGGCCTGGGGGCTCTCGTGGGTGCTGATGGTCACCCTGAGCCTCACACAGGTCAGAGGATATCAGTGATAACATATGGGTTAGCACAGCTGTTGGCACGTGTCCCAAGCATGAGCCATGCTGGAGACACAGGCGGTTTGGGAAGGAGAGTGAACCAGCACATTCTGGGTACAAGCACAGCAGCCGGAGGTGTGCGTAGAACCACCTTCACCTCCCCTCTGGGAAACCCAAAAAGCCATTAAGGAACACAACATATGGATACAGGCACTGAAGAAAAGAGCAAGAGCAGGAATCTGCTGCCTSAACTCGTGTACCCTTGTTCACACACCTCTCTTGGTGCCCTACCACAAACACCTCTGTGTTACCCACCCACTCCCCAGATTTACATATTTTCAGTGTAGGTCTGGATTCAGAACAGTCCATCCCTACCCCCTTCATTATATTCTATAAAACTGTCTAATTTTTAAAAAGATCCATATGTAACATGTATTAATAGTCAGACTCAAATCCAATCTGCATTAAACCTCAGAAATGTTGTCTCTGGCAGCGGAACTGCTGCACATTTGTTCCTAATTTAAYATTATTCATAGGGTTTGGGCACATTAAAGTCTATTAAGAAAAAATATCTGTCAGAAAAGATGGCTGTAATTGATAAATGGAGCAAACATGGCCAGAATGCAAAGCCCAAGCTCACAGATCAGCCTGTGCTGTCAGTCAGGGCAGGGAAGACAAACACAGCCCCACGTGTCGCTGGTGTGAGGGACCAGCGCAGCTCTGCTGTGCCTCTGCCTGCTATCCCCRGGCAGCAATGCAGAATATCTGCAAATTCCACATGGCTGGAAAGGAATGGCCTATAGACTCCATGGCCTCACACTCTGCTCTGCTTCCCATGGGCTTTGGAGGATCTCACCCCATCCTCATCATCCAGTGGGGTTGCTGCTGCCAGCGCTCTCTCCCCATCCTGCACTGAAGGAGACACCACTCCCTGTAGCACCATCCACCCTTGCAGCTCTCATATTCCCTCTGGACTGAGCCAAGGCAGGGCTGAGAGGGCACCCTGGGACCCTTGTCAGGACATTCTAAAAGCCTCTCTGGAGAGGAACAGTCGAACTGAACCAGCAGAACCTGCAAGTGTGCACTTTGTAAGGGCTGGAGTAAAAGCACAGAACAACACATGACCTAAACCACCTCTGTGGAGAAGGAGACCATCTGAGCAGTATCTGAACACTCAGCATCAGCCAWGAGCACTCCCCCATGGCTGGGGCAAGCCCAGGGGATTCTGTCAGCCTGAACTGACATAGTTTGGTGTTCTGAAGGCTGCAGGCAGCCCCAGAGCCTCAGCCACTGCCCTGGGAGGGGTGGCCGACCTACAGCAGTGAGAAATCTCAGCAAGCTCCAGCCCTGCCATCCATGACCTCAGGTACCCTGGGAAAGCTGCAGCATGGACACCAGCTCAGCACACATTCAAGTGGGGCAGACAGCAGGAGCTGCCCTTTGCCCTTCTCTGCCCCATGTCTCCTCCTTGTTCCCCAAACATCTCTACAACGTGGACCAGCACATCCAAAAATTGACAATCCRGTACCTCATCAGCAGAGTGGGAGAAGAGAAACCCCATTCCTCTTCCCATCGAGAAGCCAAAGGAGAATGAGAGTCATCTYTGACCTTCCTAACAAACCACTAGTCAAGAGATGGGTAGGAAAGATGGGGACCTGCTCAGCTCCATCCACTGCCTGGCTGCTGCAGGAGRCAGGGCAGGATACAGGCAGAAGGCTCCAGCAAACAGAGCTGAGGACAGAGGGAAGAGAGAAGCTGCAAAATAAAGAGGAAGAGGAGAAAGGAGTGAGAGAGAGAAAAACAAAAACCAAAACAAAACAAAAAAAAAAGATGAGAATGTTACAAAGAAAGAAAAGGAAAGAAATCCACCACCATGGGAGGTGAATCACTGTCACGGGATGGGAGGGTGCAGTGGATTTTGGAAGCAGCTGAGGCTGAGGCACATGCAGACAGACCCTGGGCATGCTGTGCAGGGGCAGTGCCTCCTGACAGCTCCATCCAAAATAACGCTGGCTGTGAGCTTGGTCACAGCCTCAGAGGGGACAGTGCTGGGTGTCACCCTCCCTGTGCTGCCCAGCTTCCTTGTGCTTCCTTGTGCCTCCTTGTGCCCTGGCAAGCTGCTCCAGCAAAGCCTGGCTGGGGCACAAGGCAAGGACAGAGCTGAGTTTATGGCAGATCAGCTCAGGGTCTGGCTCACCCTGGGAACCAGGGCTGCACCAGCCCAAGGAAAGCACAGACAGACTGCATCAGAACTTAAAATCACACACGGAAACTCCTTCACTTGTGGAAGGACACAGGAGGAGCACAGGGCTGTCCAGACTCCAGACATGGATGTGCTCTTCCCAAAAGCAAGCTGGGAGAGCAGTGTGTGCAGGGCTGCAGCTGCCGTACCTGTGGCTCCGGCTCCATGTTGATCCTGTATGCCTGAGCCTTGCCATCTTCCAGGACAGGGGGTGACCAGGTCTTCCCTTCAGCTCTGCAGTGAGAAATTAAATACAKTCGATTTCAATTGCTTAAAAAAAACCTCAAACCAAAGCAACATATCCCACAACCCCCCACCTCAAAAAACCCCACAAAATCCCGAAGAAACAGTCTCCTTAGACAAAACAAAAAAGCAATTAAACAGATGAAAAAAAAMCAAAAMCAACCCAAACCACAATTAAAAAAAGTCAAAAGCCAAACATATATATAATATCTATTAATTCCCTGGCAGCCTATATTATACACACATTTGTCCAAAATTATCCGTAGAACCAGTACAATGGCAAATAGAGACAATGTTGGTTTCCTGCTATTAATACCATGAAGCTCAAAACCATCCTTGAACTACAGACTCCATCTCAGTTTGGGATTTAAGAGACAAAGCTATTTTGGTTCAAGAGATCAGAAGACAGGCTCTAGATGGCTCCTGTTATGCATGTCCTGGCTTTGTCCCTCGATTCTGGCCCTGAATCCAAAGGGATCCTGATTACAGGAGCACAGATAGATGGGTATATATGTGTATGTGATATATGGTATATATGTGTGTGWATRTACACGCAATCCCTGGCAGGTCTGTGTGCTAGGCCACATCAGGAATTCCATAAACACCTTTCAGGAGAACGCTTACACCACCCTGCATGAATCATCTTGACCCTTTCAACAGCTGCCAGATAGAAATAAAGCCCTAAAAATACAGTTTCCATTCCCAAATGCATCCTCACTCTTGCCAAGGCAGAGCAGAATGCTGTCACTGTCCAAAGATTTTCCATGTGCCTGATCATTTTTTTCCCCACAGAGGCATCTGGGGGCATGGCTGGGATGTGATCTCCAGCACAGATCTCYAGCACTCAGGGTATGAGGGAGCTGGGCAAGGTCCAGCAGGTTCATACACAGGATTTTTGGGACACAAGGATATTAAGTTGGAAGATGGAAACTCAATTAAGTTCAAGATAAACCTTTCAACGTGCAAACTATTCTGTTTATCATTGCAGTCTGCATTTGCACCAYTTCACAAAAATAGGTCTTGTTCCCTGGGCACAGATGCATCCAAGCACCCTTYGTGGACTCTCACCCCTGCCACATACCACGCTCACTTTCAGTTTAATTATCTGCAAAGTCCAAGTCTGAAAAATAAGGAGCACGACTTTAACCCAGGAGTTCTCGAGGTGATTTTTTACCTTTGGTATTTTGCAGCTACACAAGTCAGCATACAAAGCTGCCTTTCCAAATCTAGGGTCTGACCCAAAACCCACCAAATGCAGGGACTCCCACTGATTCGAACACATTTTGGACACAGCCCCTGAGGATTTCAGCTTTTTTTTCCTCACTACTGCCATCACAGCTTTTTCAACATGGAGCAATTACTCTCTCTCACAGCTAAATATCTTGTTGTGGTAATTTATCTTCACTGTAATTATTTGATTTTAAGCTGGGACAATTCACTAGAAACTGGGCTTTCCAACTGGGACAAGGGAAACAGTCCCTCCCAGGAATATCAGCATTCCCAGCAACCCCAACTCACTTTTTGCCATGATCCGGTGCTGTGTATATTGCTTCCACATTGAAAATCMAATCTGGAGGCCCAGAACAATGGAAATGCCTAATTACATGGGCAGGGATCACCATTATTATTTCCGTGCTTTCCCCTGCACTGAGCCAATGAGTGCTCACAGTGCCCTGAGAAGGGTCCATGAGGACATTGCCCTCACTCAGCTSGGAGCCCCACATGCCTGAAACAGCTTAAAGCATCCCCAGAGACTTCAACTTKCCAGTTAATAAGAACAGAGCTTCAGAAAGTGATTCTGATGGCAGAAGATAAGAGTGACAGCAGTAAATTCACTTTGCATTAAGGTACTGCCAGCACTTCCCAGCTCTCCATACCCCGACACAAATCACATTGTCTGTGATTTCAGAAAGCTGATAAACCTGGGCTTTCCAGACATCATTATGGGCATATTTACACTTAATGACAGACATGGATACACTTCAGTTTGCATGGAGAAGCCCATTCTTGGTCAATGCTTTAATGATTAAACTCAAGGCTTCACCATCAGCTCTGCAGAGACACCAGAAGTTCTTGGTGWAATCGAGACCAGCTCTGACAGCTTCCAGGGACAGCCTGAACAAAGCCAGGCTCAGGCAGCCCCAGCTTCCACTGAACTACACTGAAACAAGCTGATACAGCACAATTTGGGCTCCACTTGGCACTCTGAAAGGCAAAGCAAAGGGCACTGGGAGAAACACCAAAGAGAAAGGCAAGTTCAAAGTTTGATGAGCATTAATGCTTTCACAGGGAGACTCCCTCTTTTCCCTGGGAACAGCAAAATACCATGTAATCCCAAATAATCCAAAATAATCAAGAGATGACTCTGACTGAGAGAATGATGCYACAGGCAGCTACTGCAGGAGGGGCTGGTGCTTGGAACTCCCACCCCAACCCTGGCTGCAGGAACACCCCATAGCCACATCTCCAGCAGGAYCAGCAGCACAGGGGTCCCCTCCACACCCCAGAGGAACCCCAAAAYAGTGGGGACTTGGGGGTCAGCAAAATCACCCCGAGACACCACGGCAGCAGGGTCACCCTACCAACAGTCAGAGCTTTGTGTTTAAGCAACAGCCAAAACYCAGCACACTTTTCATACGTCACAGGCAACAGATCAGGCATCACTCAAATGTTCCGAGTTGTTTAATTTACAGCTCAAGGACAGGAAAAGTGCTTTCAGATGTGCTATAGGGGATGAAAGGCAGCTATGTGGAAATCATTACCCTGCACTTACACGACTCTGCTCTCTTAATGGCAGCTAGGACAATCCCAAGAAAAATAACTTGACCTAGGTTAGTGCAAGGCCTTCCACACAGGGCTTCGTGGGAAATGGACCCATTAACAGGACATCACTAAAAAAAACAAAGTTGCAGACACCTTTCATTCCCACCATTTGCTTTCGAAAAGTCTCAGAGTCATTCTCCAAAGATTACTTGCATATGCTCACGTATTTTACCAGAATGTTTTTTCACCTGGCAGTGATCTGCAAGGCTCAGTCTCAACACTTGTAGAGCTGCTTCTAAGTCACAAGAATTCCTGTGTCTTACCAAATTTCTAATTTCTCCATTCCCTCATAAATTGACATTTATCACTTGGGGAAGTGCCAGCCTTGATCCAGGTCACTGCCATCTGTGACCATGCAGCCATAAATGACCAGAATAGTCACGTTGCTCTGTTTCAYCCCTTTCCTTTGGGGGGTGACTCCAGGGTCCTGTCCATGTCTTGACTGCTCTTCACCTCCCCCCATGGCAAATCACTCTGCTCACAACTGATTGTTATCACTGATGTGGCCATTAGCCTCTAGAAGCTGAACTCAGAAGCAGCTACAGCTGATGCTGTGAACTTTCCAGGATTATGAACCTCCCCACAATAACTGCAAGTGCTGGATCCATCCTCTGCAAGGTGAGCAGCACCAGAGCTGAGCTCTGCTGAGCACCCAAAGGACCCAGCTCACCCAGAATACAGGAAGAAGAAGCTGCAGGATTTCTCCTCCTTCATTCCTCTCAGCTGAAGCCATTGTGTAGTGCTCTGGACAGCTGCCGGTTTTCCTCTCTATTAGTCCTCGAGGAGCTCCACAGGGGAAGCTGTGATTCACTTTTTCAGTTGTACTTTTACTGGAAACTTGAGAACATACATTGTCATSCTTCCCATCTTCCAGCAGCTCGCCTGTGCTGCTCACAGCTCACAGACCCCAGCAAAATCCCCAGGAGCTGGTGGAGATGGGAGGAACATCAACTACRTGAGGTTCCAGGGACTTTTGGGGCTCCTTGTCCAGCAGATTMATTACTGGGCTTTTTCACACAGAAACTTCCAGAAAAACTCCATCTCTGTACAGAGAGCAGGAGTATGCTCTCAGGAGGATAGAGAATCTTCATACTCAATTCTTCAAGCAGGCTCAGCAGTGGCACAAACACCTAACTGAGGGGGAAGAAACTCTCCAGGATTGATTTTACATAGAAGGAATCAAAGCTGAACCATGGAGGATTTATGCTTTGACACCACAATCAGGAAATAAAATTCAACTCAACCTTGCCAGAGCTCTTTGCAGCTGGGGCCTGGCAGATGCTGTCTGTCCCCCAGCAGTCACCTGGCCCTGTGCACAACAGCCCCAAAGCTGTCACCAAAAGAAAGAGCTAGAATGGGAYTGGAGTGGGAATCATAAAATTATGAAGGTTGGAACAGCCCTCTTAGACCATCAAGCTCCACTGTTACCCAGCACTGCCAAGTCCACCACTAAACCATATCCCCAGGTGCCACATCTGTGAAGCTTTTAAACCCCTCCAGGGACACAAGTTCCCTGGGCAGCCTGTTCCAGGGCYTKWCAACCCTTTCAGCGAAGAAAYTTCCCCTAATATCCAACCTAAACCTCCTCTGGCACAACACACTGACACACTTCTTGCCTGTTAAGGAATTTCTTGTGTAACTTGGAGACAACTTCACAGTGAGTAAAAAGAACAAGTTTTACCAGGTGTCTGTGAGTAATAGCTCATGGGGCTGCTCAACACCCCGGATCTCCTCCAACCATCTGCCACGTAACCGGCCTGACCCCTGTGCACCGAGGCAGGCAAAGTACATCCCATGCTACCTTGGCTTGAGATTCAACAGCTGGGAAGATGATGATGGAACAGCTGCCTAATTTATCATCAGGGCAGCCTGAGCCATCCTGCTAAATCCTCACCAGCACCATCGCTGCCTCCCCACAGCCTCACTGAGCCCATGTGAACTCCTGGCGTCCCATTTGGGAGCTGTTAACCACGACCTGGATACCCAGYCCCTGTTCCAGGGATGCCCAGGTAATTCCTCACACCTTACATCAGCACCCACATAGGCATCAYTTACACAAATCGTCTCCTTTTGTGAACAGATGAGGATTTTCAGCCACGCGGTTTCAGAACAGCAGGGCCACTGTGCTGCTTTGCCTTTYACAGCCTCAGTGGCCAAAGACAGCCTTGTACATGTTGGGGCAAAGCAGGACTCAAAAGAGCCAGGGACAAAGCACCCATTAACTTCAGGGGTGTCAGGGGTCTGGCCCAGAAAGGAGTTAGGAAATGGAGGGTGTGAAGAAGGAGGGAAACC